AACCTAAAAGTTTAACTTTTAGGAGGGGTTCAGAAGTACGCCAAGGTTTGGGTTTGCAGTCAAAACACAGAGAGGCAGCTTGGGCTTCAGCGTAACCCTAAACCCTAAACCCTAAACCCTAAAAACTAAACCCTAGGGTTTAGGGTTTAGGGTTTAGGGGGCAAAGGCTACGAGCCTGAAACCTGTAGGACATGGTTTAAGGATACCTTAACCCACCAGAACCTACTTTTTTGTAGGGTCCCTATAAATCCCATATTAGTGTTTATAATAGGAACCTGCAAAAAAGTGGGTTTTGGAGGTTTAAGGACAATCTAGCGGTTCGAGTAATTGCTAATAGTATCTCCTTGTCGTCCCGTTACAGTTGTACTCTCTTATATCCCTAAAGGGCTTCGGGTTCCCTGAACCCTGAACCCTAAACCCCATTCTAATTATGAATTCACCTACAGTATGCCAGGGTGGTCTCCTAGGCATATACTTAGGTTTTTAATGGTGGCTCCTATCTAGGTACTTTACTGGGTTGCTGTTAAGGTACTTAATATAATTTACCATAACGGGGTTGTATAGTAAATAGTATCGGGTCTCCTCATTATAGAAACTGAATTATCAAGTTCCTCAACAGCAACCCAGCTTAGGGTCGAAGTTTCTACCATCTCAGTACATAGCCGTCCCTACGGAGGTAGGATATTTGGTATTAAGGTAAGCCTTAACTTTGCAAGATTCCTACATCCTCAAGCTAGCGAGACCAGGAAGCAGCTCCGTAAAATGACCGCCCTCGGCCCATACACCATAGGGGTCCGGACATGGGTCCTATAAAGATTCTATAGGGATTCGTTTAGGGTTTAGGGTTTAGGGTCTACAAGGGTGCTAGTTTCTGTTCAATCTGCTGATCAAGCCTATAGCACCCAAAACCCAAAAGCTCTTCAACTTCTAAACCTTAAACCCTAGACCCTAAACCCTAAACCCCTAAACCCTAAACCCTAGTGGGTATGCCTCCAAGAGAAAACACGTCTGCGAGGCTTCGGGGCGCCAATGATCAACTCTATCAACTCTAGACTCGCAACCCACAGCGCTGCGTTCCCAAAGCTCTAAGGTTGAAACCATGGGATACCCTATATTATATGTACCCTTAAGGGACCTTATAACCCCCCCAGAGACTCCAATACCCTTAATTTAGGAATATACCTTAAATTATAGTAGGATCCCTAATATGATTTAAGGTATATTCCTTAATTAAGGGATAATGGAGTCTCTGGGCCCTGAGGGCCCATATTAGGGGCCCATATCCTTGGACAAACAATGCAGCCTGACGCCGCCAACCTCGAACCCTCTGCACGCGCGCCTGCAAATCACACTCCCTGGTGCGTCGAGAGAGGAGCGAAACTGGAAAGCCCAATAATATAGGGGCCTAAAAAATTACCTATACTATTTTGGGGGTTCCTTATTCTAATTGTAGTATAATGGGCCCCAAAACCCTACTCCACTTATGAAGGCCCCTACATTAGCCTCGACCCCCCGTTTCGGGACCCGCAGCCTCAAGGGCTCAGAACCTGGGCCGAGGACGTCGCTGTTCCGGCTGTTGCGGTCGGGGCTCTTTCAGAAGGCGGAGGCCCCACTTGGAGGTTCAGGGGACTTAGTAAATGGTTATTTTATAGACTTATAAGTACTATAACCCCAATTAGGGTCCCTTTTAGGATACTTATAAGTCTACTTATTACCTACATACTAAGTCTCCCGACCCCCCGGTTCAGGGGACTTAGTAAGTACAGTTATAACTGACTTAATTGGGGTTATAAGTAGTTATAAGTATGGCTACCTTATTTATATCCCCAGTTACTAAGTCCCATGAACCTCCAAGCACCCCAGAAAAAGGAGAAACGCAAAGTCCCACATGGATTTATACAATTTATACTAGGGTGTTCACTGGTCCAAGGAAGTATATACTTTCTCCAAGTGGGTCTTTGAACAGCTTAGTTTAGGGTTCTATAAAGGCGTTAGATGCTGCTTTGAAGGGCTCTAGCAGAAAACTGATAGGTTTCGGCGAAGAGTCTTCTGATGGTTCCAAAGTTCAAGAGCTCCGCAGCCTAAACCCGAAACTCTGGAGCAGACACAACCCACGAGTCCTTGTCCCCCACTTGTTGGGTTTGGTTTTAAGGGTACCATGGGGTTCTGTTGTACCTGTCCTATAAGGGATCTATAAGGGTTTAGGGCTTTAAGGTTCATGGGATTTAGTAGCTAGGGTAATGAATAAGGTAACTATACTTGCAAGTAGCTACTTACAAACCCAAGTAAGGTACGCATAACTGTACTTAGTCCCATGAACCTGCCGGCATCCGCCCTTAAATCCTGACAAGATTCAGTCATTCAAAGTTCATGGCCGCTTTTGAACGGGCCTTTGGAGGGAAGCAACGGCGAAGTTTAAGCCTGAACATTGGGCTGCACGGTTGATGATACCAATCCTGCATTACCTTAAGGACCCTAAATTACAAGAATTACAGTATATTCCTTATTATGGGTAATGCAGGACTCATGAGTTAGCGCATTTCGTTGCGTGGTTGAGGCGGGTATGGGATTGGTGGCCTTTTTCCTGGAACAGACTTTGCGGTCAAGGGCGGCAATGGACAAATCCGAGCCTGGGCACAGGCCCAGGCTGGCCTTCTGAAAGGGTTGGTGGGATGGATCACCCGCCAGGAGCACCGTAGCTCCAACGGTGCTAGATATCACAAAATCATGGTGTTGAAGAAGATCCTTCAGTTGAAGCGGCGAGTTCACGACGCCCTACTACATGACCCTTGGGGTAGCATGAAAGCGGCTTGAAGCCACTGTCGTAGTGCAGCCCAAATCCTTCAACTCCCCTGTGAGGATCACAGGATTGAGCAACTAGGTTGGTTTTTGGGACATTTTTTATTTTCCTTATTTGAGTGTATAAGGGACCCTTGATACAAATATTTTCAGAGGGTTTCAAGGCCAACCCAGACAAGCAAGGTTACGAGTCCTTGAATTGGGGTTATAGGACCAGGAACTTGTGAAGAGTAGACCTCCCTTCTTCACATCCCTGGTTACTTGGTTCCATGATCCTTCAAGTAGTATTCAAAAGATCTCCCTTCAACACTGGATCCTTTAAAGTATGACTTGAAACCCCAAACCCTTGAAACCTAACAGCGCTGATAGAGAAGCCTGAATAATTACCACATGTTATTCCTTGTGGTTCCTTATTATTATTATAAGTATTCTATACAGGGGCCCAGAACCCTATACAGGGGCCCAAAACCCTATTCTGATTACTGCGGCCCTACATTAATGTAGGGGCCCATCATACTATAATTATAATAAGGAACCCCCAAAACCCTATTCTAACTATTAAGGTCCCCTACATTACGCAGGTCTCTTTGCGAAAGCTTGGGCAGATGCCAGCAGGGCTCGGAGTGAACGCAGGGCGCCCAGTCGCGAGGGCGAGCAGGCGTGCCCAGACCACCGGAAGGATCGAAAAGTAGATCCCCTAGTTTGGGACCCTATACTGCTAAGGGGTACTTTAAAGGAACCCCCTTAGGGGATCTATTTTTTACGTCCTTCCCATGGTCTGGGTGGGGACCTGCAGTATAGGGATTGGAATTGAAAATATTCCCTGGAAGAACCGTCTAGAGTATGAGAATGTATCGTCTGCACAAGCTCTTTAGTTATGGTAGAATTTCCTAAACCCTCAACCCTAAACCCTTAACCGCAGTATACTACTACATCCAAAAGCTATCTTTTAATTGTCAACGCACCTGTTGTATCGGGCTGTGGCCTCTTTACCACTCACTCTCTCTGACGGCTTGATGAGATTTAATGTAGGGGCCTAAATAATCACCTATATGATTTTCGGGGTTCCTCATTATAATTATAGTAGAATGGGCCCCAAAACCCTATTCGAATGATGAAGGCCCCTAAACCCTAAACCCTTATAGTAGCCCTTATAGAACCCTTTAAGGAAGCCTTTGAAGGAACCCCCCAAACCCTATTCTGATTATGAAGGCCCCTATGTTAGGCTGTCGAACCTGGGGGTCCCAGTGTCCCTAAACCTGTACTTGGAGGATCAGGGTTTAGGGTTTAGGGTTTAGGGTTTAGGGTTTAGGGTTTAGGGTTTAGAGTAGTACTTGGAGGATCATGGGACTTAGTAAGTAATGTTATAAGTCCCTTAATTGGGGTTAAAGGTA